TACAAAGTTGGAGAGTGATGTAATCTGCTTATCTGGTATGGCAGTTTCCTGGTCTGACTTGAACTGTCTAAATGTTCATGCCTAGGACATGTAAATCCAATGAGTGAACTCCTAATCTGAATGGCGGTGCCAGACTTAGGCTCGTGATTTAGCATTAAGTGGTTCAAATACTATTCCTAGCTGGGCCTAATTATGTATTGATGTATAAATTTGAAAAACACAAGCACATTTTCTGCCTCGTTGGGTGGGACCTAACACCAGATAGAACTTCAATGGTAGACTGATTATCGGAGTTCTTACTGTCGAATGGGCAACAGATCAACCAAATTAAACGCCAGTTTGCACATTTTCACACAAATTATCCAGGCTACAGGAAGCACATTTCAGTCGCTCTTTAATTCGGAAACCTGCAAAATGAGGGAGAGGGTCTTGTTTTGAAATCTACATGCAGCAAATTAAGGAAATGAGGCTAGCAGAATTATGAACCCTAACAAACAAGCGTTTCTTCCTGAGTCTGTGGTATATTATTTAATGCTGATACTATCCTGGTACATAACATCTAACAATTTACACAGTTAAAGTCATTTAAGTTGTTCTGCCAAATTTCACAGTCACTGTTGCTTGTAGTACAGAAACATTTTAGAAGTATTTGGAGATAAGTGGATTTTAGTAGCTACAGATCTGAATGTATGGTCATTAACAACGATGATTAGTTCCGAAAGATCAGACTTACAGAAAGTGCATTTGGCACTGTTTTCCTGCTGTTCGTTCCTTATGCCCGCAAAGTACACTTATTATGCATTAATGAAAAATTCACATGATGTTTGTAAGTGCGAGACAAATGGCCATGACGGATTTCAATTTGATATTCCGCTAAGACTGATTGTTGATATTGATAAGTTGAATGTGAATTGATGGCATCAAAGTTATGATGTAACTGTGTTATCCATTATAATATCATTTCCAGAGTTCATTATTTTGCACATGGAGCAAACTTTTCTCAGGAGAGTTCCATGAAAGGGAGATAAGAAACCTTAAGAAAGATAAGCTACGGGCGTTATCTTGTTATTACGCCAACGAAAATTCCCAAGGAGTTGGTATTAATGTTTCTCATCATTGTGTTAAACCCTTAATAGTATAACAATGTTGGGAGAAAGGTTCTGATGTTTGATAGAATTACTTATGACATAAATTATATTACAGGATCATTATCAAATACGTTTTGCTTTAAAACATCTGGGATCTTGGTGGGAAGGAATATTATCATTAAAGACAGCTGTGTTTTGAGTAGAGTTGATTTTATTTGTTTATTTGAACATTTGTAATGAAAAAAAAATCTCAATTGTATTATACAGAGATAAGACATGTTTGTATTTTATATATGGCAGCTAAAACTGTTATCATCATAGACTTGCTGGGTACATGTCAAGATTTTGACAGATACCTTTCACATTATGTAATGTATTTTCTATGACAGAAGTTGTTATATCACAAAACAGGACAGTTCTATGTAACAGGGATGGAATTACTTTAACAATATTTATGGCATGTAGACAGGGAAATTAAATTGCTTTAGAATTAAAGTAAAGCCATATGCTCTGGATGTCAAGTCATTCCTGTGTGGGATAGAAATTTTATTGTTTTTTATCTTTAGTAAAAGGATCTAGTTGTCCGAGTTTCCAATTACTTCAGTTGAACATGTCAGATATTGACTTTCCTCTGTTCTATTTATACCAGCTCCATGATAGAGCATGCTTGCACACACAGAAAAAAATAAAATATATAAGAAACACTTCAAATAAAGTTTGTGGGTCTGGACAAACAAAATATATGATTGTGTAGTAAACTCTCCGGTTGTATCGGAGCACTACAAACACCTGTTAAACATTGTAAAGGAATTAAAAGATTCAACACTTCATTCAAATTCTTATTGCCCAGGTATGGTACATATATATATCAAACTCAACAATTGGAAATTAAAAAAAAAATGTATTGTAAGTTCGACATGTGTATCAACTGTTTGTTGCCAAGCACCTTGCGCTCATACACATGTACTTGTAATTTAAAAGCTATAGAGCAAAACGTTGGTCTTACTGATAAAATGTCAACCTACCATGTACCCTACATTTTATTTTAAAACACTCAACGTTCGATTATTTTCCGGTTACTGATAATCAATGTTTTAGTAGACTATTTTAGGCCTGGAGAAGGTTTGTGGAGCGTGCCTGTAATTTATATTAAGTGTTGAGTCACCAAATGGAAACAATCCCAGTACTCTGTGGTACCGAAGTACATAGCCCAGCTCAACACGTAAACTTAAACATTGTTGAGGTTAACAGCAAAATAATTATGTGGCATGACTATATGACAACGAGACAATAAACGGTAACATTTTAAAATGTGAGCCCTTCTCAAAGACGAATAGCCGTGATCTTATCGCACAATTTGTCAATTCAGAGAGCACCTAATTAGCATGCTATTCTAAACTAATGAATAGCAAATGACATTTTTGCATGTAATATATATCTGAGAGTGACGAAAATGTCTGCCCAATTATGGGATACTTGGTTAAAAAGAATTCCTCAAGGGGAGACAATGAACGTTTTTGCTCGTGTTTGTCTCTCCTTAGCCCTACAAGTTGAATCACTAACGGGAATATTTCATGAGTATGTGGTTGATGACACTTGATATAGGACCAAGTGAATTCTTATTTGTCAAGAAAACCCTGTTATAATCGACTTGGGTTCAATGTCAGGAGTTCCTCCCCCAGTGTCTTCTGTGAGGTCCTCTGTATTAGAAGATCTTAATTTTACATGTATTAAGAAATTAACAAGGTTAACTTTTTTAAAAGGGCCCCCCTGGTTCGCTACCCTGCCATTACTACTATCACTGGAGTCATTGTAACAAGGGATCATTTTGTTTGATCCTGGTCAGTCATGATCTAATAACAAGTCAGGTGTTGTTCAAACAAGACTTGAAAAGTTTATTTTTTAAATAAATTAAAACCAAATTATAGAAACTACTGATTATATCTTAGTATAATGATTTCCAAAAAATCATTATACTATAATTGCTATAGATACAACCTCAGAATTGAAAAAAAATTCCCATTAATTGTAATTATCCCAATAATAAGCCCCACCAAAGAAATTTGTATTGAGCGATTTATCTAAATTCCATAAACATAAATATTATCATCTTCATGATAAATGGTTATTTCCACAAAATGATGTATCAAAAATCTATATAAATCAAACTTAATGTGGAAGACAGATATTCATTTTGCATTCCTAACATATCTTTAAGACATTTACGATCTGTCATACATTACATAACCTCTACCTGGTGATTTATTTCATTACATATGTAAATTTAATGTTTTTATACAAAGGGAAATGCTCATGAATGTAATTAGGTATGCTTTTGTTCACCGAGAAAGTTTATTAAATAATTGATCTGCCTTTGTAATGATATTGTATTTACTCTCTGTAAAAAGGCTGTTGTTTTGATATGTGATGAAGATAAGTGATAGAAATATCCATTTAACCATTAGCCAATCAAATTACTGCAATCCACAATCACTGATCAGTGATTGGATTATATCTGAAAATCAATAAGGTTCACACCCTTTGGGCACTAGTGTTGATGTTGGAACCTGAGGTACTCATATGCTTTCTTGAAGGTGTTCCTTTTAAGATACCATCAGTTGGCTGATCATTGTTTCCGTTATCTGTGATGAGTCTTGGTGCCGGAACAACACTTTCTGGATGTTAATAGTGATAACCAATGAAAGAGCTAATGGAAATTTTGTCAGTTTCCGCTGCAGATACAGATGAAGATGAGGATATAATGATGACTTTAGGGTTGAAAACTAATGATGATACGTTTTTTTTGATAATTACCTCAACTTTATTTTTTGTTTGTTTTTAAGTGCAGTTGAAATGAGAATCACTGGTATTTTAGAAGAAAAATAATTACAATATTGTTAAGCTCATTTTAGGGTACTGATATTATGCCTGAGAATAATTTCCATACAAGTTTTTCATCTTTCTAGTTTTTAATATGACTTTAATCAAATGTTGAAGAAAAAGGAAATCAAGGAAAACGATCACAAATCATGCACACATGATTCATTGATGTTAACTCATTCACCCCTGAAGACACATTTGAACTCTTCCAAATCAAATGTTGGAATAGGTCATATTGAAATTTCAGGGGTGAATGAGTTAACAATGAATTATTAGAGGTGATCAGTATTGTACACACCTCATAAACAGAAGTACTTGGATAGGATGTATGTGTCTTGAGATTATCTGAGAGCTAACTATATCTTGTACAGCTGCTGAGGTCCTTCCTTGCATTGATACATACCTGACATCTCTAAGTGTGTTAGGGAACGGAACCAATGATTAGTGACACCCACATGTGGTGGTGTGGGTTATGAATTGTAGTGTAAGTGGTTGGTGGGGATTAGTGTATGTGTGTGTGGGGGTTACATCACTGACTGGTGTAACTTAGCTATAGGAATGGGGTGTAATTAATCACAAACCAGGACCCAAAGCATTCACCTGGCCATACTAATTAGTGCTATCTGAATCACTTACTGTGACACAAATATCTCTGTGACTTATATTATTATGTATATTAACAGTGATATACAGCTGTTTAGATGGAGAACTAAATGTCTGGCCATATTTATCAATACCCCACCACTACCTCAACTGAGAACGATACTAGTTTTTACAATTGTGCCTCTTGAAGTGCTGCTGAATATTTTTACTCTGACTTTTTTTCAGTTTCAACTTTCTCCAAAATATTGATGTCTCTAAAAAGAAACATCTGTTCGCAATCACTAATGTCATTTTAATGTTACCAATTAAGTTTATGTGTTCTTTTTGATGAAATATGTCCAAATGTATTTCTAACTGTAATTGCTTTAACTATAATTAAGTTTCCATCGCTATGGTAACTAATGTTCCGTCTTTGTTGCTATGTTACAGGTGTCAGCAGATGATCCGGACTGTAATGGGAACACCCAGTTGACGTATCAGCTCTCCAACTCCTCCGTCCAGACAGATGACAAATTCAGCCTCGGGGTTTCCTCCGGTGAACTCTGTGTTAAGCGGTCCCTGGACTACGAAACCCAACACAGTTACACCTTCCAAGTTTTTGCTATTGATAATGGTACATATTTATCTCAATTATATTACCATCTTTTGTTTCTCAGACAATTCTCTGACAGAAAGATTGATTTTTTTTCTCTAAATAGATTAAATCAATTAGATCAGGAAGCCATACAATGGAAAAAGAATAAGATTTTGTAATTTGATATCCTGTGCGGAAACCGTGACAGTAGTCAGTGTTTTTATAACGGGATCAAAATTTAGATTAACTTTGATGATGCATTTGCAGTTATTAGTAATATTCATTAATTTTGATGATGTAAGGCAAGTTGAAATACTTTTCTTGAAAATTAAATGTTTATTCAGATCATTCAGTCCTAAAATATGCAACAATGTACTATGATTTAAAGTTTTTGAATTGATATCAATAAAAACTCTTTCCATTTAAAAAGAGTGAAATATAAATGTATATATGTAAAACATTTAATTTGCAAAAGTTTTAATTAAGGAAAATTGTATTCATCGAAAAAACCTGTACTATGTTTTGAAAACCTACTGGTTGTTTAGTTTGTGGATCAGAGATGTGTGCTTTGCAATTCTGATGTACTTTGTGATTTTTTAATCATAGGTGGTTTGACGGGAGACACAAGGGTTCAGATTACAGTTACTGACATCAACGACAATCGTCCCGAGTTTTACCCACGTAACTACAGTCAGAATCTTGACTTCATTGAGGCCACCAATCCAAGCAAGGACATTGTGACAGTGGTGGCTCATGACATCGACAGTGGCAACTATGGCCGCGTGTTCTACCGCATCATTGCCGGCTCTCAGGGCGGAGCTTTCACCATCAATGCTCAGAGTGGTCAGTATTTAGCATAATGTCTTCTTTGAACCCTACCATATTAAAGAAACTTTTCAAAAATTCTTATTTGAATAAACAGTTGGTTGGTTTTTTCTCAATGAAATGATTCCGAAATTATTTGTTCCACTCCAGAATAACCTTTTTTATATATAAGTCATGTCTGTTGAGCAACAGAAATTACAAAATTGCAAAACACCCTTGACTTTTGGATTTGTCTGATGTAAACTGAGAAGTGTAGTGTATTGAGGTGTCACTTGGATTTATGTAAGACTCGGACCACTTGAGTCGGTCAGTTAGTGCGTAACGTTGAACACAGCCATTCACCTGTCACCCAGCTGTGGTTATGTGAAATTGACCAACACATGAAAACTGGACACTCCCCCCTTATAATCATAATGAGATTAACCGCCATTCAGAGGATTAGACCCATTCAAATGGATCAGGGATGGAAAGGTTCCAAACATCTGACTGATACCCTAGGTGAAGTTGTCAGGCACTCCATATTAAATATCATATACTTCTCCAGGTGTTTTATAATCTTGTAAGTAGGGATTAAGGTATGGCTTACCGTGGTACAAGGTTACAGCCATTTTAGATAAGGAATGATTTCTAGATTAATATTTAAACCATTTATAGATGAAGATGACTGATAAGGAGGCTATAGGGACTATATATATATAAAGTTTTTGACGTGGGGATCCATAGTACGCGATGTTAAGTCATTTTCTATAATGTACAGCCAGTTTGTCGAGGTGTACGTGAAATCTGCAGACAAATTAGTTGGTCTGCTTCCATGTGTTTATACAGTAGTTTGAAACCACAATAAAAGTTGAAAGCCCATGAACATGCATGTTTAGATTTCTTAATCTTAGTGGTTATCAATATTAATTCAAGAAGTGTTTGGTGATGAACAAGGGGAAATAACTCCGGTTGTTTGAATTCAGTTATTGATTTGGTCAGGAATAATGTCTTAATATTCTCAGAAACAATGGTAGACATGTTATATGTTGATTATAGGGTGGAGCTGAAATACAACTAACATGTAACTCTCTGTCATGTTTCATCTTTGATTATGTCAATCATCCGCCAAGTTTCCCCCCCAATCTGTCCATCTTCTTGTACTAGATTACAAAGTTTGGATGCTGGCCACGACTGTTAATCTTTTCTGTCCATTATGCAAGCATGTTGTACATTTCATGGGGAAAAAACTGGCGTTACACCGTCGTGTAAGCTGTCGAGCTTCCCATGTAGATTTTTATCTTTCAAGGTCGTAGATGGAAAGGTCAAGGTTACATAGAAGCAGGGATGAGAATGCATATTAATATCAAACATAGCAGAGTACAGTAGATGCATGCTCGACAGCTGTCTAGTACAGGTCAACTTAAGTTGCACACATTTTGTTGTGGCTGACATGCTTAGTTGTACTGTCATGGTGAAAACACAGCTAATGTTTCAAGGTCACATCAAGGTCATTCATGTCAAGGTCACAGTTAGTTATAAATAGAAAAGGGAAAGTTATGTTCCCAAGGTTATAGAAAGGTCACTGTAACATGGAAGATTAGGGGAGAATAGGTAAATATATATAGATATTCTGAATGGTGTTACCTTCATGCTAACATAATTGTCCTCACAGAGTATATTTTAGCTCCTGACTGAGAAAAAGGTATCTGTCATGTAAAATATGACAGTGTAATGTTTCATCAGCTTGGGTGAAGTGCAATGTTGTGTAATTAATGCAGATTAGCATTACTAGGATTAAGAGCTTTGACAGTAATTGAATGTGATGCATGGTTGTGGTTGAGATTTTAAGTCGGGACAGAATCTCGTACACGCTACTGTATAAATAACCACTTGAAAATCTTTTTGTGGATCACAAGTTTTCTTACAAATAAAAATTGGTTGTAAATATCTGTCATAAACAGATTGATGGCTTTAACAAATAAAAATTGATTGAAAAATGTTAAGAAATGTTTAGATACATATATAATCTGCATTAATATCCCAAGGAATTTGCAGTCCATAATGTAACACTGGTGATTCAATACTGTTTGGCGTGGGATATTAACAAGATTATGTTTGTGTGTCAGGTCTTATCTCGCTGTCGGCCAGTCTACCGCAAGAGGAGAAGGTTTACGTGGTGGAGGTGCAAGCATACGATGGTGGCGGTCTCACCTCGCTCCACGCTGCTACAGTCCATATCAGTGTCATGGGTAGTGGCTCTCCACGCCCCTCATTTGAACGTGCAACCTACAGCTTCTCCGTACCTGAGAAAGCTGCCCAATCAAAATTGGTAGGACAAGTGTTGGCGACAGTCACCCCCAACAGTGGACAAGGTAAACGCACAGGTTATTAATAGGGCCAAAAAGTTAAAGTTCCTGGTAATGTTCAAAAGATTGGTTCAATTACTTAAATTGTTCACAGTTTTTATTTAAAAGTTACGATTGATTCAAGTTATGTCTATCTTGCTTCTTCGACTGGCCAGGAGGAGAAGCAAGATGGGTGTTACTTGAGTCTATTGCTGACTTTAACCCTTGAAGACGTCCAGGAAGCCGAAAATTTTGGACTAAATGACAATGATTTTAGCGTTAATCACTTTTCCTTATGGAAATCAACCTGTTGTTTATTAAATATATTTATTTCTAAATAATTAATACAGTTTTAAGTTTTGACATGAGAGATCAAAGTAAATTGGAGGTAACCTGTATTTCTGATATGCACGGTCTGGTATTTTAATAGAGAATATTTGTGTTCTATGACAAAGGATGCTACGGTATTTCCCTGACCTTGAGAATAACCTTGATACTCTTTGTAGCCATCCATTACTCCATCACCTCTGGTGATGTGGACAACCACTTCTACATCGATCGGCTGTCGGGCAAAATCTTCACCAACAACGACCGACTGGACCACGAACAAACTCCAAACTTCCTCATCATAGTAATGGCAGAGACTGATAGCCCGCCTGTATTTGGTAAAACACAGGTTAGTATTTTGCAAACATATTGTAGCGTAAGTTTATTTAAGAAATGTTAATGTTTATTTTCTTCGTACAACAGTAGTATCATCTAAGATGTACCAGTCCATGTTGTTTCATGATTAACAATTAAATGCCAATTTATCCGAGTATTGTCCTATTTCTTTAACATTGAGTAAGGGAATTAACTTTGACTATGTTAATTTTGTGAAGTGATTTCTCCCTTTGCTTGCTATATGAATTTGTATATATTTAATAAAAAGCAGCAAAATCAAACAAAACATTAGTGTCATCATTGTCATCATCATCCTACAAAAATATTTCTCTGATAACTTTGGTTTTGAATAAATATTTCAAGTTGGGAGTCTTACTCACTCTGATGTTTGCCTTGTACAGGTGAATATATCGGTGGAGGACATTAACGATAATGCTCCGCAGTTCTACACCCAAGATGTAGACATCCACGTCTGGGAGGATGAGGACATGGCTGAGGTCCTCTACAAGGTCATCGCCACAGACAGGGATAGCGGACAGAACGGCACGGTGCGCTACAGTCTTGTCGAGAACCGTGACTCAACATTTGTCATTGACCAAGTCGGTGGGGAAATTCGGCTACAGAAGTCACTGGATTACGAAGATATCAAATCCTACACTTTGGTCGTCGGGGCACATGACATGGGTGTTCCACCCCTAAGCACAAATATGACTCTGAATGTGCACGTAACAAATAAAAATGACAACCCTCCAACCTTTTTGAAGACATTCTACGAGGTGAATGTCGTAGAAAATCTGTCACTGAGTGCAACCTTCTTAGAAGTACAGGCAAGTGATCGAGACATGGATCAGATTTCGTACTCTCTTCAGGAAGTGAGCAACATTTTCGGGATTTGGCCAAACAATGGACACATGTATTTGAAAATGCCGTTGGATCGGGAGGTGCAGCATCTGTACCAGCTGTTTGTAATTGCCAAAGACAATGGAAAGCCAACACAGCTGTCTGCAACAGCTACTGTGCGAATTCTTGTCACGGATGCTAATGACAACAACCCAGAGTTTTCCGACAACATATATATTTTCCCCGTGTCTGAGGATATTGCGGCCAGGACTGTTGTTGGATCAGTAACAGCGACGGATCAGGACATTGGAGACAACGCAAAGTTAGAGTATGCCTTTGTTGATCACCAAGACCATTTCATCATCAATACGTACAATGGTGAAATAAGCACATCCGTGGCTCTGGACCGAGAGGCGAAGAGCACATACACAATAACCGTGACAGTACGAGATTTCGGAGTTCCGTCCCTCAGTGATACTACCATGGTTAAGATTGTGTTACTAGACATCAATGACAACACTCCTCAGTTTGCGTCCGGTCACATGGGTACAGTGATGGAGAACAAGGCCAAGGGCACCAACGTTCTTCAAGTCCACGCAGTTGATCCAGACAATGAGGAGAATGGCACGGTTTCCTACTTTTTCAATGAACAAGGTAAATGTTTGCACATTTTATACATTCTAAATTTGTTGGTGAAGTTAAGTTGGATATCCATATTGATAGTTTCATCAATTTGAAGTAAGAGAGAAGATCTATTTGGCTTTAGTTATATAAAATCCTGTATATTTTTGGCTCTTATTCAGCTTCCTTTTGCATTGAGATTTAAACATTTTTTATCTAAATTGATGCAAAAATCTAAAATCTGAAAATGTAACTTTACTTTGAACAAAAGCTTGTTAGTTTAATAAATTTAAAACAAATTGAGAGATGTATGTGGAAAATGGTCTGAAAGCTTTGATAGTCTGTCAGTTTTTTCCTAACTCAAAGGAAAAAACAATTCTACAAATATAGAGAAAATTCTTAAAATTTGTCCTTTTATGTCTTTATAGGTTCCAATGCTGTATCTTTGACACATTTTGAACTGGATCCAAAATCAGGATGGATAACAACTGCAGAAGTGTTGGACTATGAAAAAAGCACAGAATACCACCTGGTTGTGGTGGCAATGGACTACGGAACACCGCAAATGTCCTCGTCAGCCACCATCACAGTCAGTGTCCTTGATGATATCAACGAAGGTGACATCAACGAGGACAAAAACTTGACCATAGACCTGGTAGAAAACACCCCAGTTGGTTCCATTGTCGGCAGAATCAGGCTGCACCAGACGGATAACTCTAAAGTTTCCTACTTTATATTTGCCGGAAATGATTTCGATTTATTTTCAGTAAATAAAACCAACGGAGATATATATTGTATTAGGGATATTGATTACGAAGTATCGTCATGGCACACAATCGGAGTCCATGCCATTGACGCAAGTCTTGTTTTCCCACAAACAAGCACAATCAAAGTTAATATCAATGTTCTAGATGAGAATGACAATCCGCCATTGTTTGAGAAAGACCCAGTCATGTTGAAAAAACCTGAAAACCAGCAAATCGGACAGATTGTGTATATTTTCTCGGCAACAGATCGTGATTCTGGTGTAAACGGCTCTATCACCTACTCCATACAGAAGCAAGAACCAGAATTTGACTTTTTCAGTTTAGATGCTGTATCTGGAGCTTTGAGAATTAAATCTGTGATTGATTACGAACAGACAAAGAACATAGCACTGTTAGTACGTGCGGAGGACAACTCCCCTTTTGCCACTGACCGCCTTCACTCGACTGTTGTAGTCCTCGTCTCCATTGAAGACGAAAACGACAATAGGCCTGTGTTCAAGAGTTACTCCCCCTTGCATGTGTTGGAGAATGTGCCCATAGGTTATGCCATTGTTAAGCTTTTCGCTGTGGATTTAGATGACAATGTTGATAACAGCGGTAATGGTGTTGTATCATACAAGATCGTAGATGGAAATGATGGCTCCAAATTCGCTCTGGACTCGCACACAGGTTAGTACCTAAATAATTATATGTGAAGGGTTTTTTTTCAGTCAATATTGAACCAGCAAGAAATTGATTGTTTTGCTCAATATCTGGTGGGGATAAGGGGTCTTTAAATAGTGATCAGTAACGAAAAATAATCATCAATTAGGGCCTTTTGTTGAGGTTAATAGGTGGTTATATGGACCTCAGAAAGCGATATTGATTGAGACGAAGTTGAGGTCAATATCACATTTTTTAGGTCCATATAACAACATTTTCACTGAAATTAAAATCCTTAATCGTTATTTAAGTTATTTAATAAAGTTAAATCATTGTTCAGAGGAAAGTTCTTCTTTTGGCAGAAAACATTGTGACATTACATACAATGTCTTCATTAAGTAAATATTCACCTGCTGTTTCTCAAAATAGTAAGACCTAGTCAATATCACAAAATACCAATCTCCTCATGCTTATGATCCAGCCAGGGGGGAGGTAGGGAAAGTGTGTGCTTTTATATAACAGTATATCAATATCTGAATTACAAAGAAATTATACCCTATGACTGTCATAAATACTGATTTCTAATGGTAACAAAATTGTCCATGTAGTGTTAAGTTTGATCCTCTCACCTCCTCTTTAATTAGTGGTTTGGTCTGGGTGGAAACTGCATCTATGGAAAAGTAGATAAAACCCGGGAAACAATTGGACTGTAATGTGTAAATATAGCTGTCTGATCAAAACTATTTCCCAATCAAAATTATTTAATTTATCTCAAGTGGTCATACTAGAACTAGAAAAGGATGAAGGGAGATAACTCATTGCAGGAGATGGTTTTATATGCATTCTTTTTTAAACATTTCTTCAGGGATGTTGTCGGTCAGTCATGAGCTGGATAGAGAGTCTAAGGAGAGTTACACACTGAACGTAAGTGCAACAGACCGGGGTATGCCTCAACATGTGACCTACCTAACACTCAACATCGTGGTGGGCAACGTAAACGACAACCCGCCCACTTTCTTCTCCAAGAGTGTGTACACAGTCGAGATCAGCGAGAACAACAGTCAAGGCGACTTCCTCATGGCCTTGACCGCCACCGATTCTGATCAAGGTGTGTATGTGGTAATGGGAAGGTGAAGTTGGGGGATGGGAGACATAAAAGGCCAAACATAAGAAGTAGGATACATAGATAGGAATGCAATTCTTTGTATTTTGCAAAAGAATTTTACCAAAGTGCTTGACTAAAATTTGCTATAAATATTTACTAAATTAAGCAGAAAAAAACAGGGTATGTAGCGAAGCAGAATTTTTGTGTTTTTATTTGGCTTAAGTAGTTCTTACTTATATGGAACAGGGAACAAAACATTGGCAGATAGGTAATGAAGTTTTATATAAATTTGCTATGTCTATCAGGATAAGTTGCACAGGCCCAGGGATGGTGACAAAATATATGTACTTTGATAAATATATAAAGGGATAAGATTCTGTCCATGTGTGGGGAAACATTGTTGTACTATATACATAAAATTTCTAAATCAATGCAATTAGCTTTTTAGGATTTCAAAAGTTTTGGACAATTTCAAATAGAAAATATCATGACAATTTCATATTCATTAAATTTTGAATTTAAATTTGGAAGCCATCAATCTCAGAAACCCACGTATGTCTTGTCATAGGTTAAATCACATTTATTCTTCTGATTGTAAAAATTGGATTAATTTTTCAGGCGATAACCAGCAGATAACATACATGCTGCCGCCAGGAACAGCCGGGGGAAAGTTTGCTATCGACTCAAATACAGGTGCCCTCACTGTGACAGCTGTTCTGGACAGGGAGGAACAGAGCTCCTATGAATTCACAGGTACAGATTGAAAAACCTCTAAATACCAACTTCAAAAACTGTGTACAGTTTTGCTTGATTCACAATCTTATGCACTCAAGGTGAAAGCTCTAGGAATACTTTTAGGTACCATGAAAGAATGTTATGCACTGCTTTAAATATTTATAACTCACAAAAGTTTTTGTTCATGGATTGACGAACACCGAAGTAAATATATTAAAAAAAGATGTATAGTTGGAACATCGCAATGCAATGGAAATTACTTTTTAAAAATATTTTGCTATTATGGAAAAAAAATCAGATCAGTGTAGAAAAATGACTTAACTGTACATATTGCATTGCAATTATATTTTCTATTGCAGCTTTTGTTTTTGACAATGGCAACCCTATGCTGTATGACACTGCCAAAGTGATCGTGAAGGTGACGGACGTCAATGATCATGCACCAGTGTTCCAACAGAGCATTATAGAGCTGAGGATACCAGAGAACATTGACCTTATGGCATTTTATACAGTCAGGGCACAGGATCTGGACCAGGGCAACAACGGAGAGGTTTCCTACTCTATCACAGGTGGGTATCTTCTATAGAACCACTTTATATCCCTGATTACATTTACTACCATATATTTACATTTCCACTGCAAGTTCCTCTATAAACATTACCATAAGAAATTGCATTCATAGGGCTATGCATGTGATGGGGTCAGCATCCTTTGGAAGCTTCTCCTCCTGCCTGGAATCTTGTTTGCAGTGGCGCCATTAACACTTCAATATCGAAAATATAAGGGAATATTTGTATTTAAGTAAATAATTACTTGAAATTTAGAATGTAAATATAAGGAATGAACGGCATTTTTTCAAGTTCATGCCGTTTTGAATGCAAGTCTGTTACATTCATATTTACCATGAATCAATCAGCTGCTATTCAATCCTTTTAAGCCTTTTATAAGATGTTACTTGGTTAAACAAACTTCCATTTATCCGGTTGTCCCGCTGTTCAGCGACCGTTATCAGGTATCGCAGCATACTAATCATCGTTTTCTTGCTTGTATTTCAGATGGTAACATTGGTAATCACTTCAGCATTGACCGTGTCACTGGTCAGTTGTCCTGTACCTACCTTGACAGAGAGGACAGGCCCAGTTACAACCTAACCATCCAGGCTCAGGATGGTGGATTCCAAACCACGACCATGGTCATCCACATAATCGTACTGGACGAGAATGACAACGCACCAACATTTATCCAGGACAAGTACACAAAACGAATGAGCGAAGATGTCCAAATCGGAACGATGGTCAGGTTGGTGTCAGCTACTGATAGAGATGAGAATGGAAACGGCCGAATCACATACTCATTGGGAAATGACACAGACGGCATGTTCAAGGTTGACAGCGTGACAGGAAACATCACAACCACCAGGTACGTTGGTTTGTAATCTTGATAACAATGTACTAGATTAAAACAGGTGTCATTTGATGCCAAATGTGCTGTATATCGCCTATATTGCACAAGGTACATATTTTTGCGTAACGTCAAAATCAGTTACGACATTGCTTTCCAATATCTTGAAAATATTTATTCAAGTGCATTTCCTTATATGTACATCTTAAAAAAATTATTTCACAAATGCATATCCTCACAAATTTGATTCAAAATTGCAAAATTAACTTTATGCAAAAAAATATGTGATATACAGCATGATGCTGATGAATTGTGTTGAATACTTCAAACAAATAATGTACTGACGGGCGTTGTAGTAGTACAGTAAAACCTTGTTATACTGCCACCATTTGTCCAGAAAAATGTTCGCATTATTAAGGGTTTGTCAATGCAATAAATTTAGGGAAATGTATTAAGGAATTATTTTGAAAACAAGAAAAAGGGACTTTGAAATATGTCTGCTTTAAACAAGGTGGGCAAATGAAATGTGTTATCAAGATTTTAGTGTATTTTGATCTATGGAATTTTGTTTTTTGAAAAGATAGTTTCAGGTATGATATGCTTTTCAGACTTTTAACAAGAATATCATGATTTTCTTAAAAGGCATTTTGATCGTGAGAAAAAGTCAAAGTACATCTTCAAGTTGGTGGCCGAGGACAACAGCCAGTACAACAGGAAGAGCACAACTGCTACAGTAGAAGTCACCATCGACAATGTCAACGACAACTCGCCAATCTTCCAGAACGTCCCATACATCGAGACTGTAAACGATAGTGCGTCATCAAACACATTTATCGTCAGAGTGACAGCTGTTGACCTTGACCTTGATCAGATAAACTACAGCCTCAGTAACACATCCGGAGATCGTTCCTTACGATATTTCAGGATAGAAGACAACAACGGTGATATTTACACTCGTCAATTTACATCCGAGGCAAAGGGCTATCACTATCTGCATGTGATTGCCAAAGACTTGGGATCGCCGTCTAGAACGACAACAAGTTAGTGAAATGATATTTGAACCTGTCAATACCATTTTTGGATCAAAAATCAATCATTAGCATAATTTTCTTGTATATATAGGTCAAATGATCTATGGTATATAAATCTATTACCATAATACTTTCCTCTGGCATACTCTAGTACACACTTTACTAGGCATAGTATTTCTGCAGTGACTGGCAAAATTAATGCTGGGCTGACATGAATTTTATTAGTGATGGGTAAATTTTTCACTCATTGAAGTTGTCTGTATTATGTACTTCGAATATATCAGCAAAAACCTGTTGAAAGGCTGAAGAAAAATGTTCAAATCTCTTAGGAATCTATAGAAGGTACTGAAAGTCTGTTTTTTTGTCTTTAAAAGATGTAAATATTATAGATGTCTGATGATTGTGTGTAAGTGTGTTTGTAACAGGTTTTGCTTTTCTGTTTCAGCTGTTGTACAGATCAAGGTGGGCACAGACATACACGAACATCTCCAGTTTACAGAACGAACTTACTACGCACAGGTAGCCGAAAACTCTGACCCCGGAACCCAGGTAGCCAAGGTAACCGCACAGGTCATGGAGGGTACAGCACAGGGGAACACACAATATACCTTTCTGGAAGGAAACAGTGACAACATATTCTCCATATCTGGCTCAGGTAAGCTGTTACGGTGATAATGATAATGAAGTAAGCATATACCAGTAAGGTATATACCAACACCTGTCTAATCTAGATCTCTGTCTTTGTCAACTTTAATATTTGCTCACAGCATTCCTTATCTTACATTACTTCAACCTGTCCAGTATGAATCCTGTCTTTATTCTTGAAACCGTCATAATTTGACTTTCCTTGTTTATTATTTTTTAAATTATTCAATTTTGAAATCGAGTAAATTCTGTTATTTTGTCAGTGCTATATTTCAAAGTATATTAATTCACATGTAGATAATACAAAAAAAATATTCAAAAAGTGATTAGTTTAGTCAGTGATAAGTGCAAATTTTACAGTTTGTGTATCTTTATACACAACCATTCATTGGGTTTAAACTTCCTGTATTGCAATATTTGCGTACAGTAAAATCACATACAAAGTCACAAGTGTTTACATTGTATATTGACCAAATTATTAGAGGTTGAAAATTGTCGTTAAATAGCGATTGAGCTACGAGTAATCACCTGTTCAACAATTTGGCCCAGATCCTCTTTAAACCGGGATTTTTTTTTTAAAAAAAATTATGCTCAGTTGTTTCAGTTTTACATTGCGACAGATTGCGTCCACTGAGATATTTTTGTTTTATGTCTCAATTGCACAGTGTTAATTGTATGAGGAGTTCTTTATTTTGATGAAATGATGGATCAGATTTTCGGCCAGTAGGGGACAATTTGTACTAGGTGAGACTAACCTCAATATTGCATTTGTCGAGCAGGTGACATCACTGTCATCAATAATGAGAAATTGGATTACGAGACTTACGACAAAGTCCAGCTGCTTGTGTCCGCAAAGAATGGCGGTCTTCCTGCATACACCTTGGTGGAGGTCAATATCCAGGACACCAACGACAACGCTCCTTTGTTTGCACAAGACCCCTACTACACCTTCATCAGGGAAGATGTTCTTATAGGAACCACAGTGTCTCAGGTACTAACATCAAGTTACCTCCCCTTGTAAAAACATTACTGATTAAAACCCAGTTTTTGAGATTATGTTGTTTTCTTATACAAAATTGGATATTGAAATTTCTATGTCTTAAATTATATTTAATCCATCAAAATTTAGCTTGATGCTTGAATATTTATTTTTATCTATATGACTGAAAAACCGGTTTGAGTGTTTGTTATTTTAATAACTGGTGATGAAATTTTCATTTTCAAGATTATAAGTTAAAGTACAGATTTAACAAAGAAATATTCCACTTTTTTCATATATTCATACAATACAATATTTCTGCGAAGGATTTGACCAATTCATGTTATGATGTTTCCGTTAACAGGTTATAGCTACGGATCTGGACAGCACGGTGAACGGAATGATATCCTACAGTATCCTACAGCCAAATGACCAGGACCTAGTGTTTGTCATTGACGACAGTGGACACATCACGACCCATCTCCCACTCGACTTTGAGATCGTCCAACAGTATCGCCTGCAAATTGAGGCTGTTGACAAAGGCCAGTCCACACTGACAGGAACATGTATTGTGACAATTAATGTGGTGGACATTAACGACCAATACCCGAAGTTTCCACCTCCACGCCAGGAAAATGTCACTGAAAGTAAGTAGACTGAAGATTTCAGACACTGCATGGGTCCTGTATAATTAGAAATATTCTAAACATAACATTACAACATTACATAAAACTTATTCTTTTTTCTGCTTTAGTAATATACCAATTACCATTTCATATTTGAATGGGCGGAATCCTCATTGTCAGAGCTCAAAAATAATTTGGAGACGTTGTGTGAACAACAATACCAATTTGCAGCTCTTAATGATATTAATGTAATGCAGCAGAATTTTTCAAGAGAAATAAAATTTCGCAGGACTTGCTATGAAGTTTTAATTTTGGTCTATTAACTGGACGTTAATGTATTTACTTACAGACATAAAACTTTGAATGATTGGCCGTGAAGGTTTATCTGTTGCACACAAAATACATTCTTGGCATATATTGATAACAAATTCAATCATTTTGATGAAAATAAGTAAAAATGATTTCTGTTTTATCCTCAGCAACCCCGGTTGGATCTCAGATCATGAAGGTGACTGCCAATGACCAGGACACTTTCCCACCACTTCTCTATGACTTCGACAACAATGGTAACCAAGATGGCCGCTTCGCTATAAACAAATTCACTGGCGAGATCATCCTCGCCAAACCGGTGGACCACGAAGGAACAAATCATTACAGAGTAGCACTGAAGGTAGGTATTGATTAGTGTCTTTTTAACCTGGGGGAAGATCTTCATTAGATTAAAGCCCACCTCTTGTTCCTGTAGTAACTTTGTTTAATTCCTGGTATAAAGCTCTTCTTCTAGATGTGAAATTTTGAATTTAGCACAAGTTTTTACCAGAGCACTCTGTGTAGTTTTATGGTCCTTTTTGAGACATTTTTATGATACCAACAAAACTGAATTTACTTTTTCTTCATTCATATTCTCATGGAAACAATTATAAATCTTGGTTTCATTGTATTCTTCCTTTTTTAGGTTACTGATGGAAATAAAACAGCTACAACTGTTCGAGATCTGTACATCATGGATGTCAACGACAATTCCCCCATGTTTGTTCAATCAAGTTACCAGGTAAGGCATCATCCCATTAGAATAACATGAACAAAATATCCGAACTATTTCCTATGGCATCTGATGTAATTGTCAACATTTTGTGGCTCTGTGTTAAAACCTGTGATGTGTTACTTTATTTTAATTGCTCCAGTTTACCCACTTGTGTAAATTGGTATCATATATGCTGGGAAGCAAACCTGGGATGGACCGGCATTCTATGAATAGAGTTGTGTACTCATGGTCAGTTAACACCCCAGAAAAAGGGTATGAGCTCTGTATTATGAGCAATTAGCCTCAGAAAGACATTATCTTTTTCTTTCACTTAAGTACATGATTATTGTACATCTTAACAGAGCCGCAGCTTCCCCATGTTTGTTATCAAGCAAGCCTTGTTAGTGTTATGTTTTGTTTAATTACCAAATATTTAAATCAATGTCTTTTTCAGGCTTCTGTAAAGGAGAGAACCGTGGCAAACACACTGGTGCTGAGTGTAACGGCCAGTGATTATGACAGTGGATTGAATGGCGAGATCGTCTACAGCATTGAGACAGACACGGACAATGGCTTCACTATTAACCCATCCACTGGTAAGCTAACCAATCAAGTCATCTCGGAGTGATCTCCCTTGTTTTTCAGCCACATAAATATTATCAAGTGTTTAAGGCCTCAGAATTGATACCTCACATACACAAAACACTGGTGTAAAGAGAGAAAATGTAATAGACCTTGACAAAAGAAGTTTAAATATACATATCATTATAGGGAAACGTGCACTTTGAAATATGTTTTAAAAGTAAAAAATGATTAAAATCTATCATTCTCCATGTTTATCCTTTGGTTTGTGCAATTTGCAATTCGTTAAGAGATTGGATATTGGGACATTGTTAAGTCTGCCTGTCTTCAACATATTTTATCTTCTTGGACAGGTGCCATAACAACCACCAGGGAAGTCCAGTTCGACCCTGACCAGCAGACAATGCAGCTCACCGTGATGGCAAAAGACAGAGGTCAACCAGTTCATTCAACAGCCACATTTGTCCATCTCCTTATAGAGCCTGTAAACAACAACGCTCCTCGATTCTCTTCCTCTAGTAGCTCGTAAGTACAAATTCACTCTTTTGTTGCTTAATCTACCTTACACAAAGATACACGAGATTTGTGGGAGAATTATCTCCCTTTGTACATTTACATGAGAATTACCTTCCTCCTTAGTATATTTGAATGAGCACCATTTAAAAACTTAATAAAAATCTGTTTATCTTTGAGCTTTTTTGGTTGATAATCTTCATATAATTGAAATTATATCACTAGTAGGTTGTGCAACTTATTTTGATGCAGATATTTTTTTTTCTAGTTATGTGCATATCTTAAAACGTTTTCAGTAATCAAATTAAAGAACTTTTAGAACTCTTTTGTTAGAGAATTTTGCTAACAGTAAACTTTTATCAAGGTTTTAAAGATTTCATTTGATTCTTTTGTTTCAGTATCAATGTGATGGAGAACTCCCAGATTGGTACATCTATTGCCCAACTCATTGCCACAGACACCGACGCCTACCAGACCATCAGCTACTCCATACGCTCGGGCAACGACAACAATGCGTTCTACATAAGCCATTTATCTGGTGAGATCTTTGTTAATGGAAAGATTGACAGAGAGGTTAAAGCAGAGTATGACCTTGACATTGTGGCGGAGGACAACGTAACACCAGTTATGAGAGGATCAATCCTGCTGCATGTGACGATAGAGGATGTAAATGACATGGAGCCTCAATTTGGACAGACCAATTACACTGTGTCGTCATTGCTTGAGACCTACCCGCCAGGCACCAGCTTCTTACAGATGCTGGCTAGTGATGGTGACCTTGGAAACCATGCTCGCTTACAATACAACATTATCTCAGGAAATGACGCCGATATATTTGAAATAAATAGCTCCACAGGAGAGTTGAAAATTGCCGCATCTAAAAGTTTGGATTACGAACGTCACACTAGTCACCGACTAGTTGTTCAAGCAACAGACTGCATGGACTGTAGCGTAGATGTTCCTAGGTTGTCTGGAATGACAGTAGTGATTGTTGATGTTTTAGATGTCAACGATCACTTTCCCGAGTTTCCTGTTCCATTTTACTACACAGTGTTTAATGAGGAGCAGGCGGTCAAGACACAAGTCTTCCAAGCCGTAGCAACCGATGGAGACGCAGGTAAATATGGAGAGCTTTCTTACTCCATCAGTGACGACAGATTCTTCAGGATTGATCCCCTAACTGGATGGGTGTACCCAAAAATTGTCTTCAACATGGAAAACCTGCCTTCAAATTTAAATGATGTTCGTGGTAGCTTTTCCTTTATGGTTACTGTCAGTGATGGAAGAAATGCTTCTGTAGGGGCAAGGGTCGTCATTGGCGATGTCGATGAATTCCCTCCGCAGTTTTCCAAAACTGATTATGATTTTACTGTGAAGGGTAACGCAGGCGTTGGAACTGAAGTTGGACAAGTGTCAACCAATGATAATGACCAAGGCTCGGCTGGAATTCTCTACTACTTTTTGAATCGTCACAACGATTTTTTCGATGTCAACATCACCTCTGGAATGATTTATGTTAAACTGGGATTCAACTCAAACCCAGGAAATCGCCGTCGCAGAGATGCTAACCACTCGCGTCACAAAAGATCCTTAAATGATGCCGATAAAACGCTCATTGTTGAAGTAAAATCAGCTGTTGCAAACTCGCGCTCAAAAAGTACGGTTGTGACTATAGATGTGGACGAATCATGTCCAGGATGTAGAATTATACTTGAACCTGTTGTAGAAACACAAGGCTTTGGAGGAACACCTATGATAATTGTGATAGTCTTCGCGGTTGTATTGGTCATTCTCGTTATTGTTGTTGTGGTGATATTTGTCCGGTACAAGAAGAAAAGTAAGAAACCAGTGGCACAGGTTTACGATGCTGCAGATTTCAACGCATTCGATTTCTCACCAAGTTCAGCTCAAACGGGAATTACTTACAGTGAGCCTCCAAGCTACAGTCGTTCTAATTCTAATAATGTCACCTCGGAGATTTCGGAGCATTCCCATCATTCTGTGTCCAGTGGACGAGGGTCAGTTGAAGCGGAAGATGACGAGGAGATCTGTATGATAAACGCTCTACAGTCTGATCTGAATCAGTCAAGCGGCTTCAGAAGTAAAAACATGCCCGACTCAGGGATACAGGATGATGACACTACTTCCGAACCTTCAGTTCAAAATTCTAAAGACTATTTAGCCAGACTTGGCATAGACTCTTCGCAGATACCAACGAAAAATAAAAATACCTCGTTTTCAGAGGAGTCTTTACCGCCATTTTCTGAGGAAGACGGTGGGTTAGATACAGTGGACGATCCACTTGAAATAGACTATAATAGGCTGGGGCCTGTGGAAAATGACGCGGGACCCGGCATCAGTGTGATCAGCGGTAACCATCACAGTCACCCGCATGACCTCGGCTTCCACGAGCCGGAGCACTACGCTCAGCCGGGCTCTATGTCAAGTGTGATAAACAGTGAGGAGGAATACAGTGGCTCCTACAACTGGGACTATTTGCTGGACTGGGGGCCACAATATCAACCCCTTGCTCACGTGTTTTCAGAGATTGCTCGTCTCAAGGACGACACAATCCAGCCTAAAAAAAGGCCAATACAGACAGTGCCACAGACTAATAGTGTCAGCTCATTAAAACCTCAGGTGAAAATGATTCCCCCTCCCATGATTACGAACGCTCCCCCGCAGGCAATGTCACAGCCTGCCAATAGTAGATCTAGTCAGAGTAGCGGAGGAAGCAGCTCGTATAAACCTCCGCGTACATTAGCCAACAGTAACAATATCAAAAACAATGTCTCGCTCCCTAGCAATGCACGTTCACCCATCACATATGACGGGGGCTTTAACCCTCCTCTCACGCCATCGTTCACACCGTCTTTGTTACCACTGGCGACGGGAGCACCAGGCACATCCAGTCATAATGGACACAATATACCTAGCAGACACCAAATGGGTGTCCCTGCTGGACATCAGCTGGTTATCTCCCCTCCTCACGAGTGTGAACAGGAGCTACGGATTTAGGGAGATGGCCAATTTTGATTGAGACTTCACAATAGTTTATAAATACTGATGTAGGTCGGAGTTTATAGGTTAAGTGATTCTAGTTGGTCATGTGACATGAACAATGATACAAGTGGTGTTGTCTTCCATAAGAATCAGTCGGAGAGAGAACCCTGAACGATTGACAGACATTTATTCAGGGAGATATTTTTATCAGAACATTTTTTGTATGGAGGTATGAAATATCTCCAGTTTTGTAATTCAAAATGCATTAGCAACAAACAAATACAGCTGTGATATGATTTTAATGCATTTTTATAGACTATGATTTTTGTTTTATCTGTAGAATTGGACATATTCAAATTTTGTGGGCCACCTGCAAAATTTGAATAAAACTGAAGGTCCATTAATTGTTATCAAAAGGGACGCAGATGTTGAATGTTCGCAATTTGTACAAGACCTCCCAGTTATCTTAAATTCATAAATATAAAAAAAGCATCTTCTGTCTGCAAAAACAAAATGTGATGGATTAACACTATCACATTTCTTTTTCACTGTTTTCCCACAATTAAGCCTGTACAAGTCAATTAAAGTGTGAGATGTTCGGACATCCAAAACCCGAACATCATATACAAAAAGTTTGCTTCACATGACATTAAAGGTGAACAACGACCAAATGCTAAAAACTAGATGGCATGGATATTATGTTTTATACAGTGTATAGAGAGATATAAAGTCTTAAGAAAACAGGATATTAACAGAATTAAGTGGAATCCAATTTTTAAGAAGTTAATTATGCTGTTACCTCAATCAATTAATTTCTCTTAATTGTACTAGCTTAATACAACTAAGTATATATGCAGGTCAATCCATGANATTCTGGTCTGCATACACCAAGAAGGTGTTCCACTTCACAGGCTGGGAGAGGTCGTTAGGTAATATTTAACTAAATTATCATTTGTAAATGTCATTCCAACACGTAGTGCCATCTCTCAAAGTCGTATCATTAGTTTTATCATATCATTTTTATAAAGTTATATAATCTTCCATGATGCTAGGGAGCAATAAGTTTTATTCAGCCTAGTTTCTTAATAAATACTTTCACCCCGCCATTTTAAACTGGACTTGCCCAGTCTTTGATTTGTTAAGGTTCAAATGTCACTTCAGGGGTGAATAGGTTAAATACCAAAATTGTCAAGCAGCCTTACATTTCTATTTTTTAGTTTGATTGTAAGCCATTTTTCACAGGGACATGTATTTGTGGATGCAATATTTTAAAATATTTATTTTCTGTATGAACATGCATGTCATGCACCTGTTTTTTGGTACTTTGTCTTTAAAAAGTTAGATCAGTTTTTAACATAATTAAGTGATTTAAAAATATCTTCCAAATAGTTACCAAAATATGTTATATAAACTCATACTTTTCCTTTTTTACATTTTTTAAGAAAATACTGTGAGTTTTTTAAATGCTGTAAGTACTTGATTCTTAATGTGGATGTTTATTAATGCAATAAATTGTGAATGACTTACTTTAGCAAGGGAGATAACTTGTTTAAATGTGTGTATTAACAACTTCCTTAGTGAAGTTGTGACAACAGAGGTTGTTGGACTTGAAGGTATTTGTGGAATGTAAATTATTTGCAGTACATCATTTCATAAATATGGTATGAAGCATTCGCAATTGTAGTACCTATGTATTTTGTTTGTACCTCAGAATGAGTTGAAGTGTGTATGAATATAATGGTAGTAAATGATGACAGACTGGTATAAGAAAAACTGTACTGTAGGATGAATATTTGATCTAATAAGACTATTTTTTAATGTCGCAGTTTGAATGAAAGAAACAGTTATATTGTTTTATATGTAATGACAGAAATCCGTGGATATTATCCTGTAGACACAAATAATCAGTTAGCTTTAATAATTTTACCACATTCCTTAATTTAAAATTGCCATCAGAACAATTGATATGAATTTAGAGAACCACTTCCATTATATTTATTTTTTTGAAACCTTGGAATAGTTCGTTTTTATATATTTTAAATTCATCAATGATCGATGAAAATAACATTGTTTAAATTCAATACCAGCAAAAAAGAACCAGAAAAGGTTTACATTCTGTATGAGATTAAATTCAATTTCAATAATTTTGACATATTTTATGACTTATTTCAAAACAGTCAAGATGCACTTTAGATTGAACGTTGTTTTTTGACAATTAAAATCAACTCATGATATTATTATGATATTACATAAATCAGTATGATTTGTCCAGAGCAAAGCTATGATCATAAATATCATTTTGGACTCAGTTGCATTGGACGTCATGGTTAAATATATTGTTGACGTTTCGGTAAAATTTGATTAGTGATTAAATCAAACATGTCCTTGGATTCACAAAAGGGTTATTTTGTCTTTAGGGGGTGAACACACATTTTATTCATGTTTTAATTTTGAGCATGCAGAATCTCCCCCATGGAAATTTCAAAAAGTTCAGAAGTATATAAAGGACAAGTTCAAAAATACTTTTATTGATTTAGGAATTATTATAAGAAAAAAATATAAGTACTAGAATCAGTTTCAATGTACTTTGGTAGAGCAGGATTTCTTTTATTTTCAAAATGACATTTTATCTTTCAACATTTTTCAATTTCATTCTAACTAAGAATGCAATATTTTATGTTAGTGCATGGTAGTGCTATATGAGAAATGTGAAAAATTACATGGAAAAATGATGTGCAACTTCTAACACAAAACATTATGGAATAATCAATCATACCCTGACCCAGGGTTAACCTTTCATCAGTGTTAATCAAAATTTAGGAGTTATCATTTAGGATTGTAGCAAGAATGAAGGTGAAGGGAAGATAGTGTTTTTATTCAATATACTGGTCCTCGTCCATCATTTATAGTCGAATGTTTTATGATGTGTTTTTGTATGTGTCATATTTGTCATCCTTGTTTCTAAATGTCTCACTTAAATGTCCAACGGAGATGTTGAACTTTGAAAAAGTTCGGTGTACTGAATGTGTAATTCTTTTCTTGTTTCACAAACAAATTTAATAACTTAATATTTCTTGCAATGATATTCTGCTGAGAGAGGAGAATGTGAAATATATTTGTAATAAAACAAAAAATCAAAAGATAATTGATTTTGTGTTGTATATAGTAAAATTTGATCAAACAATTCGGATATTACAACAGTGTACACGACATTCACTCAATATCCATTGTTCACCGCAAACTGGAATTATCCTCTCATAGCCTGATCATAGCAAGTGACAATAGTTTCCATGATGTGCAACAATACATGTGGACAGAGCTATGCAAGTTTTCCACCAATGAGAAACAGAACTGTGTGACATCATCCACAGTAGACGTCGGCTTTTACAAACTTCAGGCTGGGTTTTTTCTTATTGAACTGATCACACTTCATACAAACATTATATTCTGCCAAAAATGATCTTCATTACTGCTTATCAAGGATAATGTATAAATTAAGTGTGTAGATAGTGTGTAAGATGGAGCTGTCCAGGGTAAGAAAGGGGTGAAGGAAATTTCTATCTTACACCCCATTTCACTTGACGTGATGTCACAATGGCTCAACAATGACATGGCGTCACAAATTTAGAAAACTCCAATGACACAATGCGTTAATTAAGTGGTGATGAAATTGCAACCTATTACGATATATTTACCGTACACGTTAGAAAGACGAGATCAATTTTTTCTGTGCAAGCATGGTTTGCAAATATGGGATATGCTAAATCTAGCCGAGAGATTTGTTTTCGTCTAAAAAGCTCAGGGGAAATAATGATATTTTCAAAATGGTAGCCAGTCCAAACGCATTTTCATGGTTTCTGAGCTTATTCTGGTAGTCGGGATGAGAGAAAAATACTCTTTTATGCCCAAGGTGCATGATAGGGAAATTCCACCCTCGGAATTTCCCTATCCTACACCCTTGGGCATGAAAGAGTCTTATAATATTAGATGACTCACATTTTTCCTACATCTTCCTTGAATCGATCATAGTCACATAGGGTCAGTGATTTTATGATATTAACTTGATGTTACTTTATTTAGAAACAGACCATTTATATTTACTTTTAGACATCATTTCAATTGAACATCACAACAATGCTCTCTGCGAAATGCAGCACTATTCTCTGTTAAATTAATATAAATTTTCTTTTGTGCAAGTTTAATCCGCTAGATGTCTCTTTGGGGCTCAGGGTCAATTGAGATTAACATAAAACATGTTTTGTAGTGGAAAGCATGCCATAAACAGATACTAATAATAATACCTGGCCTCCTCTGCTCTACAATCTGGTATATAAAAAATCTCTCGTCCTCAGAAAGCTACGTTATCACAGCTAGCCAGAAACAAGAAAACCTGGGTGTTTGGGGAAAAATACCTATCACATCCATATATAGTTATATCCTTTCCAATAGCACCACATCATATTCAAATCATCTGATGGAAGGGGCTGTGCATATGATGTAATCAGTTTTAGCAATATATATTAACTTGGACTAAAACCCAGTTGTCAAATTAGCACCATAAATCATGTGATGGAAGGGGATGAGCAGCTGCAGTGTGAAACCAGAGTGAACTACCTTAAACATTCCCTCTTCATAACAGGACTTCCCCACTCCAGTGGCTATCCATGCTGAATTGACAGAGGTTGTGTATTAGTGATTCCAGCGTGAATTTACCGTACACGTTAGAAAGACGAGATCAATTTTTTCTGTGCAAGCATGGTTTGCAAATATGGGATATGCTAAATCTAGCCGAGAGATTTGTTTTCGTCTAAAAAGCTCAGGGGAAATAATGATATTTTCAAAATGGTAGCCAGTCCAAACGCATTTTCATGGTTTCTGAGCTTATTCTGGTAGTCGGGATGAGAGAAAAATACTCTTTTATGCCCAAGGTGCATGATAGGGAAATTCCACCCTCGGAATTTCCCTATCCTACACCCTTGGGCATGAAAGAGTCTTATAATATTAGATGACTCACATTTTTCCTACATCTTCCTTGAATCGATCATAGTCACATAGGGTCAGTGATTTTATGATATTAACTTGATGTTACTTTATTTAGAAACAGACCATTTATATTTACTTTTAGACATCATTTCAATTGAACATCACAACAATGCTCTCTGCGAAATGCAGCACTATTCTCTGTTAAATTAATATAAATTTTCTTTTGTGCAAGTTTAATCCGCTAGATGTCTCTTTGGGGCTCAGGGTCAATTGAGATTAACATAAAACATGTTTTGTAGTGGAAAGCATGCCATAAACAGATACTAATAATAATACCTGGCCTCCTCTGCTCTACAATCTGGTATATAAAAAATCTCTCGTCCTCAGAAAGCTACGTTATCACAGCTAGCCAGAAACAAGAAAACCTGGGTGTTTGGGGAAAAATACCTATCACATCCATATATAGTTATATCCTTTCCAATAGCACCACATCATATTCAAATCATCTGATGGAAGGGGCTGTGCATATGATGTAATCAGTTTTAGCAATATATATTAACTTGGACTAAAACCCAGTTGTCAAATTAGCACCATAAATCATGTGATGGAAGGGGATGAGCAGCTGCAGTGTGAAACCAGAGTGAACTACCTTAAACATTCCCTCTTCATAACAGGACTTCCCCACTCCAGTGGCTATCCATGCTGAATTGACAGAGGTTGTGTATTAGTGATTCCAGCGTGAATTTACCGTACACGTTAGAAAGACGAGATCAATTTTTTCTGTGCAAGCATGGTTTGCAAATATGGGATATGCTAAATCTAGCCGAGAGATTTGTTTTCGTCTAAAAAGCTCAGGGGAAATAATGATATTTTCAAAATG